GGTGACGCACGGTCGACACAGATTATAAGCGGTTTGGCACTTTGACAATGGTGAAATGTAACAACAGAACAAACGAAACAAAGCGACACAACGAAACCGCGCGAGTTTGTACAACTGGAAACCCGCTTTTCGTTTTTTCCAAATTTGAACCCAAACCATCCCACTCCAAACCTCAGACAGTGGATGTCTTCTTTAGAAGTGTGACGTGTGAGCCTAAATCCGCACACGCCGAAATATACACGCCAGCCACCCAACCAAGGCAAACCAAACGTCCACCGAATATGCTCTCAGCTTTTCCTCAAGCATCCATCTCCCACGATTCCCCTCTATGCGTGTAGTCCCCCGAACTAATACACACACCAACCTCGTCCTCCCCCCCTTATTCATTTTTCCCTTTGATGTGCACCAGATGCGCGCCCCAAGTTCCTTCAAGCAGAAAATTATGTGGCGTTTTAGATTGCCCTGACTATGTTGCACTCGCCAAGTTAGTATCTTTTTTTTTTTTTAATCCATCTTTGTCCGTTTTGCACATCCCGTCCCTTTTCAGACGGCGGCTTCGTTCCGCCATCAACGTCGTGCTGCAGTAGCATCGCTGTCTTCTGGGGTACACGTGAGTCACGGCGAGGAAGTACATTGTCACGCAACAGTGCAGGTACGTTTACAGTTCTCATCTTGCTTGTGAAGCTGTCCTTATTTTTTTTATCATGCAACTTAAATTTTGAGGTATATTCAGGTTCATACTCATCTCAATGAAGAGTGTTACTATCTTCGTTTCGTGCGTAGCAGCTGTCGTCGCGAAGATCCATATGTTGCGACTAAAGCAGTCGCAACAGCATACCAAGTCGACGGATTTGGTCGACGGGTGTCAGCCATCTCGGTGTGGGCATGCACGCAAATAGCACACGATCGGCCGCACACCCACCAAGTTTCTAGAGAATGAGGGGATGTGGAGGCCCGTCAAAGTGTCAAAGATAGTAGGAGTATGGCCTAGGCTTAGTAGCCTAGGCCAGAGTAGGACTATGAAAGGAGGCGCCAAGTACGAGCTAGGAATGTGTGCACGAACAGAATTGAGAAGGAATGATTGAACTAGCAAGCAGCAGGATACATATAGCAAACCCTAAGGGGCTGTACTCACTATTGAGTACCCCACTGCAGGCTACACAAACAACATATTCTGACACACCCCCATAGCCAAAGTGGGGTGAAATCAGCACAATGAGCAGGCAGTGCAATAGTTCACGATTATCAGCAAAGCTAGAGGCAGTCACAGAAGGCAAGTGAGGAGGAGGAGGGACTGTGGGAGGAGAGTAGATGGGAGGCGACGACTGAAGCTGCAGACACACGGGCAACAGGAGCAGCAGCTGGAACAGTGGCTACCGAGAGCACGACGGCTCCGGACTACTGGAGTAACTGGCTCCGCGGCTACGACGAGCGGCAGGAGCAACGGACCCACGGGCGACTGGCGCAGCAGGCTCGCTGGGCTACTAGAGCGCGACGGCTCCGGACTACAGGCGCTGCGGACGACAAGACGGCTGCCTCCACTCAACCTCCCCCGACTGTCCCACACCCCCCTACACACACCCCCAGTTTCACCCCTAGCTCCACTCCCACATCACCCCCCTAGTGCCCCTCCCCACGACTCCCACACCTCCACCCCCCTCAGCGGCAGCTGCAGCAGTGGGAGACGAAAAAGGAGGAGGGGAGAACCCACACCTCTCACCCCCATGCTCGCCACCCCACACCCCAACCACCGCGGAACGCACGGTGGAATGGGAGCAATGGGCAGCACGGGGGGGGGGGGGGGGGACGGAACGGGCTTCTGCAGGGGCGGCTCGCGCGGGTCCTGGGGCGGCTGCTGCAGGTGCGGGCTGCTCCAGGGGCGGCTGCTGCAGGTGCGGGCTGCTCCAGGGGCGGCTGCTGCAGGTGCGGGCTGCTCCAGGGGCGGCTGCTGCAGGTGCGGGCTGCTCCAGGGGCGGCTGCTGCAGCTGCGGGCTGCTCCAGGGGCGGCTGCTGCAGGTGCGGGCTGCTCCAGGGGCGGCTGCTGCAGGTGCGGGCTGCTCCAGGGGCGGCTGCTGCAGTGGCGGGCGGCTCCAGGGGCTGCTGCTGCAGTGGCGGGCGGCTCCAGGGGCGGCCGCCGCAGTTGAAAGGCAGGAGGAGGGGGGGGGGGGGGGGGGGGGGGGAAACGCACGGCCCCCAGGGCGCCCCGAGGGGCGACGAGAAGGGAGCCGCGCGGCCCCCCCCCCCGGGGCGCCGCGACGGGCACCAGGGAGGGCGCCGCGACGAGCCCCCAGAGCCGCCTCGACGGGCGACGGGGAGGGCGCCGCGCGGGCCCCCCGAAGTCGCCTCGACGGGCGACGGGGAGGGCGCCGCGCGGGCCCCCCGAAGTCGCCTCGACGGGCGACGGCAAGGGCCGCGCACGGCCCCCGAAGTCGCCTCGACGGGCGACGGGAGGGGACCGCGCGCGGCCCCCGTGGTCGCCACGACGGGCGACTGGTGGGGAGGCCGCGCGGGCCCCCAAGGTCGCCTCGACGGGCGACGGGAGGGGAGGCCGCGCGGGTCCCCGAGGTCGCCTCGACGGGCGACGGGAGGGGAGGCCGCGCGGGTCCCCGAGAGCGCCTCGACGGGCGCTTCGACGGGAGGGGACCGCGGAGGCCCCCCCAAGGGCACCACGACGGGCGCCACGGAAGGGAAAACCGCCAGGCGCCCCGAGCGCGCGGCGGGCAGAAATTAGGGTTTCGCCGCCGCGCACCACGGGGCGCGCGGCGGACAGTACGGCAGCGGAAGCGGGTGGTGGGCCCATACACAGGAAGGCGGCAGACATGCCGCCCTCTGATACCATGTCAAAGATAGTAGGAGTATGGCCTAGGCTTAGTAGCCTAGGCCAGAGTAGGACTATGAAAGGAGGCGCCAAGTACGAGCTAGGAATGTGTGCACGAACAGAATTGAGAAGGAATGATTGAACTAGCAAGCAGCAGGATACATATAGCAAACCCTAAGGGGCTGTACTCACTATTGAGTACCCCACTGCAGGCTACACAAACAACATATTCTGACACAAGGAACAGCCAGGTACGGAAGCGTAGTAGAGTGGCGAGCAATGACTGGTCCCGAAGTGGGATCAGCCAGTGCGACAGAGACCGGTGCAGGAAGCGGAGTAAGAGTCGTGTAGTCGAGAAAGAAGCAGTGCGATGCGTGAAAGACAACAACGCGTTCGTCGAAGTGGCACCCGGACTAGCGCCTACACAAACAGCTACACTAGCAACTGGCACACGATCAATACTAGCACCTAAGCTAAAAACACGCGAGCAAACAGTGTCAGAAGCACTAGAGTCAACAACAACATATATAGCATTGACAGTTCCTAAGAGTTCAAGTAACTGAGAAGCAGACATGTCCCATAGTGCGGGACCGTGAGAGAGAACAAGGGGAGGGAAGCCAGTCAGGGGCAGGGCCATCTGCGCCGTAGGCCGCGCGAAGTCTGTCAGTGAGCTGAGCAAAGCACTGACCCGGTGGGTGACGGCGGTCGCAACGGAGGCCACTGCGAGTACCTGTCTGGATGAGGTAGGGGCAGGGTGGGTGGGCGTCACCACGCGACAGCTGACGCGGTCCTGACCCGTGCCGCTGAACCATACATTTGACATATATATCTCCTGTCATCGCCCGGATATAAGACATATATGTCTTATCTCGTACACGGGCAAAAATGCTTGGGTTGTCTTGTATTTGGGACGGTTTAGGGTGTCTTATCCTATAAATGGACAAAGAACCGTTTAGAAATTGGAAGATACCCCCTCGTTATACAATTGCCTCTAATCCCTACACTGGCTTAACTCGTACACACAACTAGGTGTCTTATAATGAGGCTACCTCATTAATAAGAGACACCCGTATAATAGACACCCCCTGTCTTCTATTCAATACAGTCTTATATCCGGGTGATGACGGTATACGCCTGCATGCTTACCCTTGCTAGGTTGTGGTCACTGTACTGCATTTGCTCTTTATAACTCTGCACGTGAACTGCCCTTGTGGCCGCTTGCTTGTGCTCGGACTGTGTGGTGATCTTGAGATCCACCCTGAGCTTTGTCTTGTTGTTTTCTCTTGACTGGTCTTGTGACCATTGCTTGTTCTGGCTATCCCCCAGTTCACCTATGGGGGTGTGCCAAAACATATATATTTATATATATTTAGGCTGTAGTGGGGTTAATTAACAACTTTCTCGACACCTTTCTTGTGCCCCCCTTCCCATGACCCAATGCACATATTCCTAAGATTCTAACAAGCAGTACCATACTTCAAAACACAATGACGTACCATAATAAACATAATAACAAGCATGATCCTACAATGCACCCCTGCTGTACTGAATGATCAAAAGCACCACCAGTACCCCGTGAGAGGTTTATTGTTTTGCAAACCAAACGGCATCCCTGGGCAATGTCCGAAGTTGGGGATCATGTCGTTAGAGTGATTTGCACCAAACTTGTGAAAACCTTTGCACCCACCCTGCAGACACCAGCTCACAAATAGATACATACCACAGTAAACTCCATGCACACCCTCTCAGCGACATAAACGTGGTTCGACATTCAAGGACATCAACATGCAGTGAAATGGGAAAACACAAAAGACGGGGACCGGTACAAGGGAGACGAGGAAAGTGGAGAGGCATCGAACATCACTCATGTGACATCACTCGCTAAGGAGGTGCACGATTACGATGACACCCACTCATGGACGAGGCTCCTGGCATGGACTGGCTGTACCAGTAGAAGACCAGATTTCAAACGACTCCACTGTGTTCTGCATATCTGTGGGCCATCTCACCCATTCAATTGGGCCGCCCACGTGGTCACAGGGCTCGGAGGAGACAGGCTGGCACGTGGGGCCGGAGGAGTTGCGCCAGTCAACGCCCATGCCGTCTATCACCGTTACCGCCATGGAATAGCCGTCTATGCCCGCCAGCCCCGCTGCCGTGCTGCCGAACGTCGAGAGGTGCGTTATGAGCAGGCGGTCACTGGGAGGGGGAGATGGGGGGGCAGGGAGAAGCACAGGGGAGGGGAGGGAACACAGGATAGGAGAGGGAACACAGGTGAGGGAGAGAACACAGAGGAGGAGAGGGTGCACACCGCTGTGGATGATACACAAAGGAGGAAAGAGGGCATAAGGGAGGAGAGGACACACAGGGGAGGGGAGGATACACAGGGGAGGAGAGGACACACAGGGGAGGGGAGGATACACAGGGGAGGAGAGGACACACAGGGGAGGGGAGGATACACAGGGGAGGAGAGGACACACAGGGGAGGGGAGGATACACAGGGGAGAAGAGGGGAGAAAAGGAAGGGAGAGAACATGCGAAGGGATGCGGGGGGAAAAGGGGGGGCGCGGGGGGCCAGAAAAGGGGGGCAGATGGGCAGGGAGCTAAGAGCAGTATGCCTGGCTTGCAGGGCTGCTGCCGTGTTGCCAACTGACTGCACATTTGCTATGAGCAGAGCATATGGTTGTTGGAGGGATGGGGGGAGGGAACACAACAGATGGAGGGATAGGTTGACATAGCAGAAGCAGCACGTCTGAAAACTAAAAGCTCAAGGTCAGCTCACCAGAAGCTCAGAAGCCACATGTCCAATACTGCCGATAGCATCTGCTGCTCCTCATGATTCTCTGCTTCCTCAATGGTCAGCCTGACATCGCAAGGGAGCACGCACGCATTGAGAGGGAGTAAGCAAGTCGCCTAACTCAACATGAGAGTGCTTTCCTGCATGTGGCAGCGGCGTGAGTGAGTGCAACCAGACTTTACTAACAAAAAGAGCTACACCGGATTTGACGCTTATTGGGAGTGACAAGTGCCAAACGCTTGCATTTTGACGAGAAACGCTTGACGAGCGTTTTAACGTTGACGCTCGCCCTATTCTTCATGGGTGGCCCGAACAAAAAGCACAACCCACGTGAAACTGTTCCCTTTTCCTGATAATGAGTAATATCCCCTCTCAGCCCTTCCATTCACCGTCATCCCCCTATTCCCCCCTCCCCCCCTGTTTCATATTTCGTGCTCAAGTTTTTGGTTTCCCGAGCATCAATCAAGCATGTCAAAAAAAAGCGGCCAGGGAACTTCAAGCATCATGGATGCTGATCAAGTCAGTTCCAGCTTCAGTTAAGCCCAGAGCACCTAAGTGGCACCGTGAGGCACATTGGAGGCACCTCAGTGGCACCGTGAGGCACATTGGAGGCACCTCAGTGGCACCGTGAGGCACATTGGAGGCACCTCAGTGGCACCGTGAGGCACATTGGAGGCACCTCAGTGGCACCGTGAGGCACATTGGAGGGAGCCTGGAGGGAGCAACAACTCACGTCCAGAATTCAACGAGAGTGCTGCCCAACACATGGTGGTGCAGGTAGTGGTGCCGCAGGTCCATGAGGTGGCGAATGGTGAGCGACGACACAAACACCACCATCTTCTCATACGGGGACTCGCTTGCTGACGTCCTGGGGGCATTCTGGGAGGTGAGAAGCAGCAGAGGGAGTCAAGTCAGACAAAGATACACGGCTTGATTCACGTACAACGCCACCCCATGATATTGTATGGGGACTCACTTGCTTCCGTCCAGGGTGCATCCTGGTCGTAGGTGTCAATCAAGGATATGGAATTGTGGAATTGATTCAATGGCTCAGAAGGCAGTCGGGCTTGAGCACATACAAGGTGTGGAGTAACGGAGAGAACTGCTGCATTAAGGGGTGTGGTGAACAGGGCCGTTGGCACTCATGGGTAGAGACAAGAAGAGCAAAGCAAAAGGTTTGGGAGGAGCAAAGAAAACGGTGGGCAGCAGAGAAAAGGGTGGGGATCAGATCAAAGGGTGGGGTGGGGAGCAGAGCAAAAGGTGGGAAGCAGAGCATAAGGTGGGGAGCAGAGAAAAAGGTGGGCTGACAGGTGTGTGAGGGAATTACAGGTGTGAGAGGGGCTTACAGGTGTGAAAGGGAGCTGACAGGTGAGAAGGGGCTGACACTCACTGCTGCTAGAGGAGAAGTGGGGGGCAGGTAGTGGGAGATGTTGAGGGCACAGTCGAGCACACGATGGACCACTGACATGTCGCTTTCCGAGGGCGACCGGACCTGACGCGCATTACAGTAAGAGGGGGAGGGAACAATGGTGTCATAACATTTCAGGAATCGCATTCAATCTCACAGGCAGAGAAATCTCACAGGCAGAGAACTCTCAGAGGCAGAGAACTCTCAGAGGCAGAGAACTCTCACAGGCAGAAAACTTTCATGTAAGAACTCGCTTGGCTTTGTCTCTGTTAACTGTCACAAAACTCACAGACCGTTCTCACTCACCTGAACGCCGAGGCGATGTGGCAGTTGGGTGAGGTTGACATGGAAGAGGGAATTAATTTCGTCCCACAGCTGGTTGTCGGGGTGCAACAGGTAGCGTGCCACATGTGTGTAGATGCGACCGTCTGGGAAGAGCTCATTCAGCCGTGCCTGTGAGCGGATGGGTGGGAGGGAGAAGATGGTGGGAGTTGAGGGAGGAAGAAGATGGTGGGAGTTGATGGAGGGAGAAGATGGTGGGAGTTGATGGCGGAAGTGAGAAGATGGTGGGAGTTGATGGCGGAAGTGAGAAGATGGTGGGAGTTGATGGCGGAAGTGAGAAGATGGTGGGAGTTGATGGCGGAAGTGAGAAGATGGTGGGAGTTGATGGCGGAAGGGAGAAGATTGTGGGAGTTGATGGCGGAAGTTAGAAGATGGTGGGAGTGGATGATGGAGGTAGAAGAACAAGAGTGGAGGAAAGGGCACACACACACACACACACACACACACACACACACACACACACGCCTGGATGTGTGGTTGGGTGAGAGGGAGGGACACCATGCAATAGAGCAATGCTTGATACGTGTGGCCAAAGTGCTGACCTTCCCTAGTGGAGCACTCAAGTCATTGCTCATTTGGGTGTGAAGGCGGGGGGTCATCGTGGTGGGAGCAATGCTTGACCAGAAGAGGGGGGTCATCGTGGTGGGAGCAATGCTTGACCAGAAGAGGGGGGTCATCGTGGTGGGAGCAATGCTTGACCAGAAGAGGGGGGTCATCGTGGTGGGAGCAATGCTTGACCAAAAGAGGGGGGTCATCGTGGTGGGAGCAATGCTTCACCAGAAGAGGGGGGTCATCGTGGTGGGAGCAATGCTTCACCAGAAGAGGGGGGTCATCGTGGTGGGAGCAATGCTTGACCTAGAGCGCAGGGGAAGAGGGGCATGGAGGGAGGAAGTGGAGGCTCACAGCGAAGGAGGGGATGTAGTAGAGGGAGGGCACGAAGTAGGTGTCGATGTTGGTGTACCAGAAGCGCGCTGCAGCTACAGCGTCCCAAAGCTGGTCGCAGAACTCCGCCTGCACCCTGCGCAGTGAGGGATGGCAAGTGGGTGGCAAGGGGATGGGAGGGGAAGAACTCCGCCTGCACCCTGCATGCATGCAGTGAGGCGATGGCAGGGATGCGATGCGGCGTGCACATAGGCGAGCAAGGATGGCGGGGGGGTGGAAAGGGGATGGGAGGGGAATGGGAGGGGGATGGGAGGAGAATGGGAGGGGGATGGGAGGGGAATGGGAGGGGGATGGGAGGGGAATGGGAGGGGGATGGGAGGGGGATGGGAGGGGAATGGGAGGGGGATGGGAGGGGAGTGGGAGGGGGATGGGAGGGGAATGGGAGGGGGATGGGAGGGGAATGCGAGGGGGATGGCAGCGGGGTGGAAAGGGGATAAGGTGGAGAATGGGATCATTGGGGGGGAATAGATTGGCTATGAAAATTCGTATGGGTCAGACAAGAGTGGACAGCGTCACAAGTGCGTTGCACTGCACTGATCTGACGAGAGCTCGTAATTTTGAGTCGTCTTGACTTGAGAGCGCTTGCCATACTCGTAAAAGGCATGGCATGGTGCAAAGCTGCAGTGAAGGGCAGGATGATGAGAGACAAAGGAGGTACAGAGATGACTTTGCAGGGAAATTACGCTGCATGCATGCCATGAAGCGATGCACGCTTGACATGTTGCAAACCGGGTCCGGACGCGTAGTGCAGCGCAGGTTCAGACAAACAGCCACCCACCTGTGGTTCATGTCCAGCAAAACGGTGCCGTCCTCCTGCACGCGGCTCCTCATGTCCTCCAGCACCTCATCGCCCCGCGTGCTCATCTCTTGAGTGAGTGCGCTCATGTTCAGCTTGGGCTGCCGCAGCACTGTCGACAACAGCAGCCTGAGCGAACGTTTTGAGGAAGGAGGGGGAAGGGGAGGGGTCTGAAGGTGGGGGTTGGGAAGGGGGAGTATAGGATAGTTGCTCCCTAACGCATGCCAGACCCGAATGGGTTTTATTTTTGCCCACGGGAACCTCACTACATGTGACACACTAAACCTAACTATTTTTCTCTTGAAAGTCGTGGGAACAATAAAACAGATCGTGGTTCCCGCGATCAAAGGCATGCCAAGTGGCGATAATAAAACGAAAGGGCGACTGCATGAAATTGAGCAAAACTCTCAGGAAAATCCATTTTCCTTACTTCGCGTCCATGCTCAGCTCAGCGCGTACATGACTGTTCCCGCCAACAGTTCTCAACAGTACAGCGTTACCACTCGCCTCGACTACTGTTCCCGCCACTGTTCTCGCCGCGACCCAACCTCACGGTTCGGTTGGTAACCCGCGCTCCGGACCTTCGCCTCGACAATTCCCAACCTTGACGCCAAGCCCGTCGCGCACCCCAATTTCACGCATTGCCGTTATTACCGTAGCTTCGTTATATATTCTTCGCTCATGCCTTCGCTCATTGTACTGTTTGTTTCAATACCCATACCTTCGCTTCCCCGCTATCTCAATTTTTGGAGGGGGTAGACGTCTCTCAGTGAATAAGCACCGCCGCTCGAAGTGCTCTCTCGTAAGCACGCACGGCCACGACAGAGGCTGTCGCTGAGTTTGTCTGACACCCCCGCCATGGCCGAATTCAACATCGCGACGTTGACGTAGGAGCAGCTCGATCGTCTCGTGCGGCAACTTAAAGATTCGACGCTCGAGATTGCGGTGCTCACGGCGGAACTCGACTCCGCCCGTCAGCAATCGACAGGGAACGCACATGCACCAGCACCTACACAATCGGATGAGCCGATTGTTATTTCATCGGCACACCATCACAACACGACAGCGTGGGACAGCGGTCAGGCGTGGCCAGTGATGGCGCCGCCTAGTCAATGCTGGCATGGAGAGGAACAGGGCCGCACCAATCACAAATGGGCCTCGCGAAGCTCGTCATCACGTCGAATTCGCAACAACAATCGGCAACGACGATATCGGCGCACCGATGCTGCCCAAACCGCAGCGCCCGCCCTGCTTCGATCCTAGCCAACGCGGAGGTCCGACAATTCAGACGGTCTTCACAATGAACGTGTTTTTTTACGCTAATTACGTCACGTCGGACGCTACGAATATTAGATGCGCGGTTTCGCTGTTACGGGGCCCCGCTATGGATTGGTGGCGAGTCATTGTGACGTCGCCACGCGCCTACGAGCCGCCGTCGCAAGAGGACGGGCCCGCGGGTCCAGCCGTCCCCTGGAGTTCATTTTGCGAAACCGCAGAGAAGAGCATTGGAGGGAGTCTCAGAGGCAGGGAAACGCCAGCAGTCAGTAGAAATCGCGCCAACTACTGACGAGACAACCTGCTCGCCCAACCTCACGACCCTCACCGAGTCACAGTACCGATTCATGCTATCGATCGGGTTCGGATGAATAAGGAGGGTGCAGCGACGGATTGCCCAGTACTTATTCACGGAAAAATACAGGGGACAGCAGTGAAGATTTTTATAGACGGAGGGGCAAGTCACAGCTTAGTTAATACTTCGACCGCACGCAAGCTGCAACTGACACTTAGCCGCTGCTTACCTGAAATCGACGCACGCTTAGTTGACGGCACACCGCTGGCCATATGGGAAAAGTGGAGAGAATGAAGATTCACTGCGGGGGGAATTTCGGATATACACAGGAAATGCTCGCGACGACACTGGATGGGCACGGCATTTTACTGGGACGTGATTGGCTGCGACGTTATAACCCGCGAATCTGTTAGAATACAAACGAGAATGGATGGACTAAGGGAAAGTTGGGTACAAATGTAAACCCTAGAAAACTGTACCCCATATGTGCTACCCCACTATAGCCTACAGTAGCTATGTCATATAAATCTGACACACCCCCATAGGCAAAGTGGGGGAGAACAAGGGGTCACAAGACCAGTCAAGCACAGCAAAGCAAGCTCAGGGTGGATCACAAAGTCACCACACATTCCGAGCACAAGTTCAAGGCCACAAGGCCAGTTCACATGCAGGATTACATATATATATAAGGCTAGACAAGCAAGAGCAGGTGTATATATATATATGCAACAGTACAAACAAGGTCAAGGGGTGAGCAAGTGAGTCAAGGTAGGCACAAGACCCAGCTGAGTACAGAAGCGCTGATGATCACAAGGCGCAAGTGCCTTGGTGAAGATATCAGCAGTGTTGGCCTGAGAGGCCACGTACGCAAGCCGCAGCTGACCACGCTGCTGTAGCTCACGAGCAAGGAAGTAGCGGAGAGCAATGTGCTTCGTTCTGTGCTCCAGTCTCTGCTCTCGACACAAGGCCAGCATGGCCTTGTTGTCTACGTACAGCACTGGAGGAGAACGAGGCGGCTCTCCGAGGTCAGTCAGCAGGTAGGTGAGCCAGCGAAGCTCCTGTGCAGCCATGGCCCCGGCGTAGATCTCAGCCTCACAACTGGAGCCGAGAACAGAAGACGAGCGGGTAGCCCGCCACGAAACAGAGCCGGAACCAAGGCTGAAGGTGTAACCCTGTGACGACCGCTGCGTAGCCTGGTCGTCAGCCCAAGAAGCGTCTGCGTGCCCAGTGAGGACCACTGGACTCTGCCCTCCAAGCACAAGCCCCATGCCCGACGTACTGCACAAGTAACGCAACACCCTCTTCGCTGCAGCCATGTGCTCCGGTCTGTGTCTCCCAGGAGCAACATAGCGTGCGAGAATGCTAAGAGGGTATGCGAGGTCAGGTCGTGTGCAGGTCATCAGGTACATGAGGCAGCCAACAAGCTCTGGGTACGGGCCACTCGACTCTACGGACTCATCCGAAGGCAGAGCTGAGAGCCAGTGGCGAGTAGGCAGAGGAGTGGCCTGAGGCGAGGAGTACGTGAAGATGAAGCGCTGAAGGACCTGCTGCACCATGTGTGACTGAGTCAGGGTAATGGTGCGGCGTGCTCTGTCCCGGGTGATCTGCAAGCCAAGGTAGCTGCGCAGTTCACCCAGGTCTGTGCACGTGTGTCTCTTCTGCAGCTCGGACTTCACGTGGGCGAGTCCAGTAGTGTCAGCTGTGGCAAAGACCAAGTCGTCGACGTACACGAGGATGTAGAACGGCGGCAAAGAAGTGTCGGTGCGCAGAAACAGCGACGGGTCGGCAGTAGAGGGAGCAAACCCAAGAGCCGCAAGTGTAGTCCTCAGTGTGTCGTGCCACTCACGCGGTGCCTGGCGGAGACCGTAGACTGGCCGCCGGAGGCTCCACTGGGTGCCAGGAGGAAAAAACCCAGTGAAGCCAGGTGGGCGACGCAGCCAGATCTCCTCGTGCAGGCTGCCCTGCAAGAAAGCAGTGCTGAAGTCAAGAGAGTGCAGCTCGTAGTCGCGGTGAGCAGCTATGTGCAGCAGTACCCGAAGAGTGGTCATCTTCGGGGTGGGAGAGAAGGTCTGAAAGTAGTCAACTCCCTGCCGCTGACTGAAGCCACGAGCCACGTAACGTGCCTTGAAGACAGGCGGAGAACCCGGCGGTCGCTTCACCCTGAAAATCTACATGCCACTGACGATGTTCGCCCCAGGCGGGGGAACCTCGTCAACGTAGGTGCCTGTGGACTTCCAGGAAGCCATCTCTGTGTCCATAGCTGCCTGCCACTGAGAGGAGTAGGGACCCTCTATCGCCTCCGCGTAAGAGCGCGGAGTCGGGATGTCAAGTGCATCCGGATCTCCCTCAGGGGTAAGCAGTACCGACACGAGATGAGGTGAAGCAGCAGCCAAACACTGGAACTCCTCCTGCCTGTCCTCAAGGACGTCCGTGCCAAGGGCACACTCACCCCCGACGGACGGAGGACAGACAGACTTAGACGCAACGACAAGACTAGCAGCGTAGTCTAGACGACAGCGAGCAGCAAAGTCGACGAGCTCAGCAACTAGGGCAGACGCAGCAGTGGACTCAAAGGAAGGGTCAGTGACGACAGTAGCAAGGAGACGCGTGACAGTAGGACTGGCAGCACGAAGAGAGTCCGACTCCGGGTCGGGAAGAGCAGGAAGAGAGGACTCAGGAGGAGAAGGCAAAGGGGTACGCAGAGGAGCAGTGGACGGACGCAGAGACATCCTGTGCGTGCCAGGGACAGGAGGAGGACGCTGACGCAAACCACGGCCACTAGTGCGAGCAAGACGCACAGGCGACGCAGGGCGAGACGCAGGCTCACGACGCTCAGCCTGACCTCCAGTAGGACCAGTGTAGGGAGAAAGAGCGGGCAGTGTGAAGGCCGGCTGTAACTGTAACTGGGACGGGACAGGCTGTGGACACTCTAAGGGAGGAGGAGGACCAGTAGAAGGCGGGAGACCAAGAACCTGCTGAAGGAGCGGAACGAAGTACGGCCGAGGCCGCGCGGCAACTCCAGACACAGCTGGGACAGCACCAGTACCCCCAGCGGCAGCACCAGCGCCAGCAGCACCTCCAGCTCCAGTACCTCCAGCAGCACCAGGAGCACCCCCAGCAGGACCGCCTCCAGGACCGACAGCAGTAGCCTCAGCGCCAACACCCTCAGCAGCTCCAGCTCCAGGCGTACCCGCAGGCCCAGCAGCTCCAGTACTCCCAGTACGAGCACCTCCGGGACCCGCGGCACCAGTACCCTCAGCAGCCGAAGAACCTCCAGCTCCAGCAGCACGCCTCCAGCGCCGGGCAAACCACTCGCGCAGCTCCTGTGGAGAGAGTGGCTCCCGCCGAGATGAAGCACCCGGAGAACCTCCAGGCTCAGCACCGCCAGACGCCACACGAGCAGGCCCAGCTCCCTCAGGCTCCGCACCCCCAGGCTCAGCACCTCCAGGCGTAGCACCCCAAGGCTCAACACCCCCAGGCGTAGCACCCCCAGGCTCAGCACCCCCAAGCTCAGCACCC